GTAACGTAATAACGTGCTCGTTACTTTCTTCAAAACAGTAAAGGGTAATGTACTTACGCTACTTATTTCAGGGAACGTGTAACGTTACGTTACCCGTTCATTTTTTCCAAAAACTTAAAAATACCTTACGATTCAATTTTGTTTTCGAGTTTTAGGCGCCAAGCATTGTAAATTGTTTAGTTTTTAGAGCGCAGGCTCTTAGGCGCCCGTTTCCGGCTTGAGCGGCGTCACCGTCGCCGTCGGCGTAACCGCGAGTAACCCTTGTAACCCTCGTGAGGGTTTCGAGGGTTACGAGGGTTACTCTCACGAGGGTTACCCTCACGAGGGCTATGAGGGTTAGTTACCCTCAAAAGGGTTACCCTCACGAGGGTTACCCTCACGAGGGTCACGAGAGCTACCCTCACCTCACGAGGGTCACGAGGGTTATAAGAGTTACCCTCACGAGGGTCACGAGAGTTACCCTCACAAGGGTTACCCTCACGGGGGTCGCGATGGTTACCCAGGTCACGTAAACCCCCCCCCCGGGGTCACGTGACCCCCTGAGGTCACGTGACCCCCTCCCCCAGGTCACATGACCCCCGTTGACGTCATCGTCACTGATGACGTCACCTGCATCCGCATCGTCATCGTCACGTAACCCCCAGGTCACGTGACCCCTCCGCCACCGAGGTCACTTGACCCACCCCCAGTAGCTTTCCCTCCTCCTTCTCCTCAAGAGCTGCGCTCTAATTCGGCGTTACAGGGAGTTGTAAACGGCTTTCTTTTTTTTTCGTTTTTTTTGGAGAGTATTTAGGTGAAACAAAAAAATAAAGTAATTATGTTCAGTTTGTGCATAAACGTAATGTTTCTTGAAATACGGAGCTTATGCATACCTGTACAGTCGAAACAGTAAAGTATATGTTAATTCATAATTAAGAAGCATACTTCAAAAGTAACGAGCGTTGCTTTTTATCGGTAACGGTAACAGGTTTCTTTTATTTTGAGGTAACGTAGGTCGCTAACGCGTCACTTTTATTTGCAAGTAACGATTAACGTATTTCGTTGAACAAAAGGTAAGGGCACAAACGAGCTGGTGGGGGTTAAACATTTCGAAAAAAAACCGAGACTGGGACATTAAGGGACGGACAAACACAGTCTCAATTGAGACTTTGTGTTTGTCCGTCCCTTATTGTCGCAGTCTCGGGGTTTTTTCGAAATGTATTTCGTTGCTTTCTTTTTTTTTTTTGGTAACGCCTACAACACTGGTTCACCATCTTACAGGGTAAAATAGCGTAAGAAAAAAAAAACTAGTCGGTGACAGGTCAAGAACGATGTGGAAGCACCTCCCACCTCTTTCCACTTTAGCGAAGTGAACGTTCAAGAGGAGGCAACCTCCTCTCCAGCGTTGGCTCTGCTAAAGTGGAGAGAAGTGGTAGGAGCTTCCATTTCCCTCTTAACCTGTCACCGACGCGCATTTACCTAGCCATTGTCGTGCTGACGAATGTTCTGCAAGGTTCTACAACGTGAACATCCTAAACTCCCTTCAGCGCGAGCTTTCTGCCTTCGCTAACGTAAGTGTGAACGCGCAGGCACGAGCAACCAAAGCACTGCGGAAGTAAGGACAGAACGAGCGGGCTGGTGTGGATAGTTAAACTTGAGGAAGAAAACGAGAAGTTTGTGTTTGTCCGTCCTTTCTCGTTTTCTTCCTCATGGAAGTTTGTGTTTTTCCGTCCTTTCTCGTTTTCTTCCTCAAGTTTAACTGCGAAAGTCAGCGAGCTCGCGCTTCTGTACTCCGTGTCGCTAGTTTCGTGCAATAGAGGCGAAGGCAACGCCAGGCGAGGGGAGAAGTCTGGGAAGGAAGGGAAAAACCCTCTTCTCTAACCTTCCTACTCTCCCGTTTTCCCCTCGTCCTCTAGTGCCCTCCTCTCCCGCGCTCGCCCTTTCTGTCTTCGTCAGGCGTTGGCCCTTTGCCTGCAGCACTGCACGCCATAATCCCGAGCTTACAACTTGCACGTGAAACCCTGGAGGCGCTTGTCATTGAAGAGAAAGGGGACAACTGCGATACTGCACTTTCCTTCACCCTGCAAGAAAAAGAAAAAAAAATGTTTTTATGGTTGGGGAAAAGGGGGGGGGGGGGGGGGGGGTACCTTGGGGCGAATTAAGGCGAAGAAAGAAGAGAAGAAAATAAAAACAGTTTCACACATCGTGGGTTCATCATTGTAGCAGAGAAGGATAAACGAGACACGGTTGTTAGTCCTGCGGCGTATGTTTCTTTTTCTTGGTGCGAATGTTTAGTTGATTTTCTTTGTATTGGTGTAGGTTAATGTTTGTTCAGCGGGCCATTTCCGTAAGAGAAAATAAGGGCATTTTTCGTATTTCCACTACTGTCGCACATCCGCTTACTCTCGTGCACCTCAATATTTTCTCTTCTTTTTTTTTAGTAATTTAGCTTGCAAATTACGCAAAAGAAAAAACTAGATTTGAGCAATAAAAGATATCGTAAGGGTGCAGGCGAACGGGTGAATATTAACCATGTCGGATTAACCTGAGACTAGGGTAGAAAGGAACCTGATACGTCGTCCTGTCTATTTTATGTCCCTTCTACGATTTGATGTCTACTTTCTAACCCAGTCTCGGGTTAATCCAACATGGCTCGATGTGAACCGTCGCTGTTTTAGTTTAAAGTCGCAGTCAAACTGCTGAAACATCATGCAAAAGACACGCTGTTTGCTGCACACACAATGACTTAATTTCCTGCAGCGGGATGCCCTTCGAGCATGTTCAAAGCTTGTGTGCTTTTCATACATTCTTCAAACATAAACAATTTTTTTTTTTTTGTATAGCCAATGTGACAGGAATGTCAAACAGTGAAGAAACAAGCCCCAAGTTTTGCGTTTACACTGTCTTTTGCACGTGTGGCAGCGGCTTGAATGAGGCCATGAAATGAATTTTGGGATGGGATAAATCATTTTAACGTGGAATCCTACTAATCGATTATCGTTTAGTGGGCCAGTAGAAAAACGGTAGAAAGTATAAAAACGCCCGCTTTTCGGTACGGAAATTCGAAAATAGAGCGAACTATTTCGTATCTCCTCTCCGTCGAAAGCTCTCCGCCTTTTCGCTGTAACACCAGATTCGTTGTTCGCCGTCACGTTGCCATCATGCAGGGTGTTTTGCATCAGTCTTGGCTCGTGCGGGCTCTTCATTATCAGAGATGAAGACAGGCACCTCATCCCAACAATTGACCTGGTGTCTGAAGCGTGTGTTCGCTGTAACACATCCATGGTACCCAAAGCGCGTCGACCTACCCCAACTCACTCGTCGAACACGAGCGCCGCGTCGCCCGGACGCACACTTTCGTCAAAGATCGATCCGCAGACGAATATCTGGATTCACGTTTCTTGACCTTAAGAGTGCCGACACATCACCACCTGCTAACGACGAGTTCCGCGGTGTGCTTAAAAAGCACGGCGGAAGCTCGGAGTCATGGTACCGGTGCCCGAGCACGTCACGGCCGCAGGATTTCTCATTTCGCTCTCGATTTGAGGAGGAAAGCTAAGGAGGGAGGAGTTGAAAAAATCATTTTATGGCCCCTTTAAGTATCAGACACCGTGTTGTACGAGAATGCGGACAGCGAGTCGGCTGCTCCTTGTGCAGGAGTTGTGGTGACGTCAGAGCGAAGCAGAGCTCTGATTGGCTCTGATTAAAAGGATAGTGGTAGACCTCGATGCTAGATGCCTCGAAGTCTACCCACTATGTTTTCTGTTTTCGATCAGCCAATAAGAGCTCGGCGTTCTGGCACCATCGCAACCGTTGTGCAAGAAGCAGACGAACTTGCGCTCCGCATAGTATTGTGACTTGCGGATTGTATTTACGGCCATAATGTCGTTTATTATCCGAAACCTCGCATCCCCAGTGAGTGCTTCCAGGTGCGCACCCGAAGCTGAACGCGAGAATTATGTAATAAATCTTCCGCTCAGCAGCCAGTCTTGGAATTAAATTTATACACGCGTGTTAACGGCCCTGCCTCTGAACCAAAATTCTGAGTTCACGGGGTCCTGAACAAGGGCTCCCGAGAACAAGGTAGTAGGGCTTTTAGTAGTGTTGTATCTTATCCGCCATCCAACGGAAGCCAGTCCTGGACACAAACTGAGCACGAGTGCTGCGGGTCAGCGTTCGATTTAATCTCGTGTTCTCGCTGTTTGAACACGAGTCCTGGCCTCACGCTGACGCAGCATTCGTGTTTATGTGCCCCGCGCAGCGGTAGACGGTTTAGGAAATACAGCACAATACGGTCGTATGATCTTGTTTTAAACCGCTTTGGCTGCGAGAGCGTCCGTGGAGATGGGCTATCCACATTAACCATTACATTCCGCTCCCAGCATTTCTTTTTGTGGCAGGTAAAAAAAAGAAACTGATCCGAGCGTAACAGAATATTTTTCTACCCAGTTTAAATATCGGCTATTTCCCTTAATTTTGACAAAGAAGTTTTGTTTTAGATATTTTGTGGAAATATAAATGCCTTCATAACTAACTCACGGGCTTAAACGCAAGTGTTTGTGTCCGTCCATGCGTGCGTGCGTGCGTGCGTGCCTGCGTGCGTGCGTGCGTTTATGTGTGTGTGTTTGTGTGCACGTGTGTCCGTGTCAGTGTGTTTACGTGTTCACAAAACACACACATACAACAAACAATGCAATCAAGTGGAAAGCTGTGTAAAAAAATCAAACGAAAGGCGACCCCGTCCTCTATAAGAAAGGAGATCCGTCTGAATATGACAGAAGTTCGTTTACACACAGTACCATCTCCTGTTGACCACTGGTCGCTATGTTTTAGTAGCATGCATAGCGTGCTTGAACACCTACAAACAAAGACCTTGCATGGGTGTTTATCACTTTACGATAACAAGAGGCAATTCCCACGAAACAGCCTGTGTCGTTTGTATTGTCGTTTATGTCCCTCTTTCGTTGTCCTAATTTCGACATCAACATGCTTAACGATCTTTGCGTTTATTACATGCGCAGATTGTCAAGATGATGATTGTGGTGGTGGTGATCTTTGCCGTCTGCTGGCTCCCGTACCACGTGTACTTCCTGGCGACTCACCACCACCCGGAGATCACCCAGTCCGAGTACGTGCAGCACATCTACCTGGCCATCTACTGGCTGGCCATGTCCAACTCCATGTACAACCCCATCATCTACTGCTGGATGAACAGCAGGTGGGTGCCGCAGGAAGGTTTTTTTTTCATTTTTTATTAAAATTTACGTAGCAAAGCCTGACTTTGCTGTTGCGACGTCCAGCACCGCAGCTTCCACCACGCTTTTTTAATGTATGTGTCGCACGACCGACGTTGCAATGGTGAAGTTGGCAAGTAAAGCCTGACTCAAGCCAGGTTTCTCGCGAATTTGCAACTGCGGCGTCGGGGACGGCAGCTTCCCCCAGGATTTTTTGCTGTTGTTGTTGTATTTGTACTGCACGAGGGAAGTTGCAACTGCGGAATCGCAAGTAAAATCGCAAAACGTGAATCATGCCCGGTTTTCATATATGAGTTTTTGGCGAATTCGCAGCTGTGAAGTCAAATACCGCCCCTTTCCCCGGGCTTTTTTTCTTCGAACGAGCGACATCACAATTGCGAAATTGCGAGTAAAATCGCGCCATGTGAATGAAGTATGAGGTTTTAAAGCCCACTTCACATATGTGATTTTGCTTGCGATTTCGCAACTGCGACGTTGTGGACCGTAGCCTCCATTATTTTTTTTTGTCGCGCGAGCGACTCCGTAACTGCGAAATCGCAAGTAAAGTCGCAGTATGTGAATCAGGCTGCAGCCCGGTTCACATGGTGCGATTTCAACTGTGCGATTTCGCAGTTGCGACATTGAGCATTTCAGCTTCCAGCACGTTATTTCTGCCGCACTTGCAGCGTCGCAAATTACGAAATCGTTCAAGCTCTAAAGCCTGATTCACATGATGTGACTTGCGAATTCGGACGTCACTCATGCGGCAGAAAAAAACGTGGTAGGAGCCGCGGTGCTCACCGCCGCACCTGCGAAATCACGAGTAAAATTGCACCACGTGAATCGGGCTTTAACCTGATTCAAGCCTGATTCACATGGTGCGATATTTCTTGCGATTTCGCAGTTGCGACGTCACTCGTTCGGCAAAACGTGGTGGAAGTTCCAGTGCTCATCGTCGCACTTGCGACACTGTTGCGACGTTGAGCGCCGTAGCTCTCCGACGCACTTACGACGTTCAAAGCCAGATTCACATGCGATTTCGCAGTTGCGACGTTGTTCGTGCTGTAGAAAAAGCATCGAGAAAGCTGCTGTGCTCAAAGTCGCAGCTGCGAATTTAAAAGCAAAATCTCACCATGGGAATCGGACTTAATGCAGCAGCTCACCACCGCACTTGCGACGCAACCGCGACGTTGAGCTCCGCAGCTTCCACCGCGCTTTTTATGCCGCAAAAGCCGCGTCGTCGTAGCTGCGAAATCGCCAATAAAATCGTACCGTGTCAAAACTGATTCCCACCTGATTCACATAGTGAGATTTTCCTTGCGATTTCGCAGTTGCGACGTCGCTCATACGGCAAAAAATAGCGCGTGCGACGCTGTTCGCCACCGCACAAGCGAAGTCGTCGCACCATGACAATAGGGCTTCACATGGTGCAATCTTGCTTGCGAATTTCCAACTGTGACGTCGGGCACTACAGCTTCCCCCGGTCTTTATTGCCGCACGAGCTTTTTCTGCCGCAGGAGCGACGTCGCAACTGCGAAATAGCGAGTAAAATCGCACCATGTGGATCGGGTATCACCCTCGAGTGCCCGCTTTTGTTTAACGACAAATTTTTTTTATAAATGTTTGAAGCACCGGCAAGACACAGGCGCGTGAGCCCACCTCGGCGGAATACATTTGATTGTACGAGAACTCTCGCAGAGAAAAAAGTATCCCAATTTACGCGCTTGCACCTGTTCTTTCGTCAGCACTGCAGTTCCGCGCAAACACGTGTTAAAGCCGTGGTCTCATGCCTCAAGCCTTCGCTGCCTTGTCAGCATAGGTCTGAATATAGTAGGATTGTTGTTTCCAGTCCGTGAGCCAGCACGCTGAATCAGCGCCCTTCGCAACTCCAACTTCGCGCTCGTATACCGCTCACCGTCAAAGCTGTTGCTCCTGACAGACTATAAGCTCTAATTTCTGCACTAATCGCATATTTTAAATTCCAAACTTATACGCACTACTGGCAGAGCATAAGGTGCCGCAGAACCGTATGCGAAAAACGAATTAAGACGGCAAGTTCAAACTTATATGCAGGATTCCGTGTTGTCTGAGCTTATTTTTCGTCGAATTAGGAGGGTGATTTTCGGGGTTCATTCTTCTGGCCGAAAGTTTGGAGTTTATCGGGGTTTATTTTTGTTGGATTTTCAATTCTTTAAAATTCAAAGTTTGATTACGCAGCGTTTTCTATTAAAAATGAATAAATAAATAAATGATATACGGGTGTAAACGCCTGCTAGATAATAAAATAAAATGCGCTTGTATCAATTAATATTTCTTTAGCTGGATTTGGCGTTGGTGCCATTGTCATTATCAGTACTAATTTGTCCCGCGACGTAAGTTGCACACAACGGGTGCTTCGATAAACGCTCATACCCTAAAATCAACAAACTCCTGGAGGCAGGCGCTGGGAGGCTCGTATTCATTCCCTCCTATATTTTATCAACCTACCACGCGGCCGCGCGAGGTGGAGTGGTAAGGGACGTAATAGAGAAGTTTCAAATGTCCCTCTTCCCCATTTTGTGCAATTTCAATGGTCTGTAGCTTTCACTGTTACAAAAACACGACCTCGCATTCCTCCAAAGCACAAATAGCGTGGCCCAAAGTGGAAACCAAAAGAGTGGCATTTGTCGTGACCCGAAAGTACAATGACTTGTTGTCCTGAATGAAACTTGACGGGATAAGCGGTCAGACCCTTTGTGACAATGGTCTGACACTTGAAAGATAACTGTGGGGGAATTTCCCCAGGACCATTGACCCTGTATGCTGATTAAACTTAATTGTAAAATACCGTCCATTTTTTCTTGAAAGGGGGGGGGGGGGACCTTTCCCCTTCCCCCCCCCCCCCTCCCTCCCGAGAAAAAAATTAAAGTTCGGTGTTTATCGCATAAATCCGAATTTAGCAAAATTTTACTGGCGGGTGTTTTTCGGAGTTTTTCGAATTTATCCGAAAGCACTGATTTTCACTTTCAATGAAACCTCCGTGGCAGTAATTGTTTCACAAACATGCATTAACATCTTCAAGGGTAAGCACCTGGTCGGGCTTGCTAAAAATAGTGCCTCAGCCAAGAATGTGAAAAAAAAAGCCTGTGACGCCTGAAGCGCGCAAGCGCTTGAGGCTCGATTTCATTTGGAATTGCGCTTGTACGCTACTTTCGCAAGTGCTTTCTTTTACGCAATCCTAGTCAACATTACTAGGTTAGATCAGTTACGAAACTGCCCATGGACGCTGCTTCCACAAGCAAAATATCCCCCCCCCCCCCCCCCCCCCCCCCCCCCATCTCCGCCTCTCTGCCCCTATGGCTCGCCCCCAGCCGTTCGACGTCCCACGGTTTTGAGGCCGGCTGCTATGGTAACTGCAGTTTATATTACGGAATACATATGTTTTGAAACACCACGTCTAGATGGCGTTTCACCGTACTCTAATGAAAAACATAGTTTTGAAGAGAAGATCTAGATGGCGCTGCAAAGGACGGTAGCCGGACTGAAGTGCATGAGGGGGAGAGGGGGAGAGGGGGGTGGGGGGTACCTTTTCCAAGGGAGTTCCAAAACTGAGAACTGAGATAATCTAGTCAAGTTGGTCTTGTCTACGACCGTTTCCACCAAGCGGGCCATGGTTTCTAAGAGAAGTCTATTGTGAGCAAAGTCATTGTGCTGAGTGGACGTTTCGACATTAGGAAGTTAGCTCCAATGGACGTCTGGTGTTCCTACTGTAGGTGAGAAATTTTGCCAGTGCAGTACATCTGGATGAGCATAGTATTGCCATGCGCGGTCGTGTAGTATTACCGTCTGCATCAGGTGGTAATAATACACGACCGCGCATGCCATTAAGATGCTCATCCAGATTAAAACGGGCAGAGGTGGGGATCGGAACCAGGATCTCTGGATTCTGCAGCGCTAGCTTTCGCACTACACGTGCTCCGAGCTTCGGTGCACTAACACACTCGGCCGCCAGGCCCATTTAAACTGGCTTGCTAGAAACAGTGTCTCAGGTAAACATTTGTGAAAGAAAGCCAGCTAGGCATGGGTTGCGCGAGGGCTGGGAGACACGACTTTATCGCGTGCCACTCTAATGGTGCGCCACCCTCGCAAAAATGCTTCCTCTCGTCCAGTCTTAGGTAAGATTCTGTTTCTAGCGAGGGCGGTTTTGACTTTTGAGAGACGTCTAAACATGGCTTGCACTGACCTCACATGAGCGACCATTGTATTGGACTTGCTGCTGAGCGTATAACCTTCTGGAGCGTACAGTGTGTTCAGCTGTTAAATATAACGTGGGAGCGGTGGCCGAAACTGATATCAGAGCTGTCTATACTTCGTGTCATCCTACGATGGACTAAAGGCCAAAGTCACGGGCCGCCAGGTCCAATCACGATCCACGCTAAACTACGACACGCTTAGCATTGATTGGGTTTAGACGAATAATGCTCCGGATCCAAGAACGCTGCGTCATTTTTATAGCTTTGACACTGCAAAGAGCCAGTACGTCGTGGCTTTGTTTGCAAAGTAAAATTGTTTAGCCACTCATTGGTCGATCCGAACCACTGTCAGCCCATTCCCATCAGTGATCCGAGACGCGAGCAACGATACGTGCATCGAAGCGAAATACCACGCAATATCTAAATGGCTCGTGATTGGATCTGGCGGTTTGTAGTTTCTGCCTTTAGTCCATCGTAGGGTGAGACAAAGTACAGCAATTAAATTAATGATGCGGCAGCGAATAAGGCCACTCGTTTTTTTTTTTGCGACTGTCGCCGTTTCTTTCATTATCACCGACGCTTTAAATTTTTACTTGTCCTTTGGTTGTTTTTCCCATTCTGTTTGGTCACACCTACGCATTTACCATGCGGGGCAACCACATCTCGGTGATCTTGCAGTTTCTCTGATAAAAGCCACCTTCTTTTAAGAACAACAAAAATATCAAACAGCGACAGCTTTTTTTTTTATTATTATTAGTGCCGAGATACGCATTGGTGATTGTTTCGGAGCTGGGAGTGTAACTCCAGAAAGCAACAGCGGCATAAGCTGCCAAAGTGAACCGGTAGATGACGCATGCAGTCTGTTTGGCCGCCGCTCCCGCGTTATATTTAACAGTTGAGTACACTGCACATTAGGCCCCACCAAATTTGTTTTTTCGTCAAAAACAAGTAAAACCCAAACGTTATCACTAGTGGATCTACGTCACGCCGCCCACCTTCCGTCAGCAGCGCGTCAGCGCGTCTAGCAGCTTGTCACAAAGAGGTCGACGCTTAGGGTTTCGTTATACTCCGACGTTGAGCGCAGCAAGCGCAGCGTAGAACGCGCGCGTCTCATTGCCCGGCGAGCAGGAACTTGATACCTGCGACCAATCGGTATCTTTGTAAGCTACGCTACGCCGCGTTTGCTTCGCTCGACGTCGGAGTATGACATACCCTCGCGGTGACGCCAAGACGGAAGCTTGTGCCGTTTGGGACCAAGGATGACGTGATCCGCATGCCCATCCTTCTAGGTGGTATGGATTGGGAGTGACTTTAGACTGAGACACATTCTTCGCGTCGGGCGCGTGTCCCCTGAACCGGCACGCATTCGGCGACGCAGGTTCCGCGAGGGCTTCAAGCGCGTCTTCTGCTGCCTGGCGTTCAGCGACAAGGAGACGGCGCAGCTGCGGCAGCACATGGCGGCCACCCGGTACTCGTGCTCGGAGCCCTACGCGGATACGCGTGTCACGTTCAACGGGTCGGCCACCACGGTGCCCATGCACACGCTCACGGAGACCATGAGCGCGGCCAGCGTGAACGCCGGCGCCGCCAAGTTCCGAGCGGCCGCCGCCTGCGGCTCGGACGTGTGACGAACACTGCCGCCGGCGCGCTCGGCCCGGCTCACGCTTGTCGACCGCTCACGGCAACCCCGCGACAAACTCAAGGGCGCCGCCAACTGCCTGTGATGAACACCATCACGCCACGCGTCAATGCACTGGAAGACCCTGTGCGCGTCCCCTCTTTCTTCTGTTTTTATTTTTTGAGAGAGGGGGGGGGGGGGGGGGGGAGGATTGAAAGGGATGAATGTAGAGGGGTGGCACATGAAAGAAAAAGGACTGCTGTTGTTACGCTGTCCTGGTTGCTTGGAATGTTTGCCGAATTATAGTGAGAAATATTGATTGAACCAGGAGGAGGATTATGTGCGCGTGCTTGTGTATATGTGTGTTACCAGCATTTAGGATGCCCACCTGCTCCGGTGAGTCGTAGCGTACGTCACTTCTTACGAAACGACCAGGTCGCGGGGGAAATGGAGAAAGCAACGTATTATTCCCCAACTACAAAACGCCCAGCGTGTCAAATTTCTCAGAAAAAACAGCACAAAGCAACAACAATAAAAAAAAATACATTTGGAGAATTGACAGAAACTCCGGAAAAAGTTGGGCTCAAAATGTAATCAACACTGGCACACTGAGGATATGATGAGCCTCAGACAGAGCCTCTCGTGCTGTGAAAAGTCAGTAGTGTTTTGAAGACATCGACACTTAGAGTTTCACACTGTAGAGCAGATCTGGCAGGGACGTCGTCGAACGGCATGTACGAGTAGCGAGCGAGCATCGTTCAACTCGATCGAACCCTTCATATCTCTCGAAAATTAATTGTTTTCCCTCAAACGATATATGCGCCATTTTTTATCGCCAATAGTAATAAAAGCCCTCTCCCCTTGTCAGGCGATAACATGAAACAACGACATTATTCTATGGTATCGCGCAAAGGCATTTGGATATCTAACTGGTACAGAAGGCCCCGTCCATTAGCACAAGTCTGGACTCAGTGAGACAGTGTAGATTGCAGCTTCTTCAAGTTTCGTGGGCTAAGTCATCACAATAAGGTTGCTCTCTGATTCGCGCTCTGTCTTCCCTACTGGAAAGTAGACACGCGAACGTATGTTTAGAGTGTGTTAAAGATTCAAGCCACCTGATATGAGTGAGGGGGGAAGGGGGGGGGGGGGGGGGGGCATGTTGTCCCAGTTGGTTTACAGCCGCCGGAAACGAATCCCAGGCACTCGCCATAAATCCGTAGGCGGGTTGCGGTCGTTCGGTAAACGAACTTCGATGCCTCATTAGCAAGACGCGCCCTATATGTACTCATCTATTCATAGGTCGAGCTGGCACGCTGTTGGCGTATGTTGGTCTCGACGGATTGAAAGTGGGCCTTACGCTTGTGGCGTTAACGTCCGAGAAAAAAGTAACGGAAAGTTTATGAGAGCAACGACCAAAGTGCGATGTATTCTCTACGTCAGAAGGTATTCCCCAAGTCGCGTTATTCTCCCACAAATAGATTGATTATTTTTTAGAGTTTGTTTGTGGGTGAGATGGTAAAAGTGACAATGTTTCGTTGAAACCAACTTCTTTTCTTTCGAGAAAACCCTCTCGTTTGAAAAGGGGGGGGGGGGGGGGGGGCTTAGGTTTCTGCAACAAATAAAATTAGTGCCTAAATTTAAATGTTTTGTTTAAAAAATATTTAAGAAAAGGGTTTTGTTTCTAACTTTTTGTTCGAACAGAAATTACGTCTACAAAAATTGAATGCTTGTCCTGGAAAGCAAAGTATAAAAAAATTAAACAAAGCTATGTTCACCGTGGTTTAATGTCGGCGACTACGTATGCTGCCGAAAGACAAAGGTGAAATGTTCGCTTTTGTCTTTCCTGAACTTTGATACTGGGCAGTCGCATCATATGTCCTCCCATCTTTTTGCGCCGTTTCCTTGTGAGGCGGACATTAAACTGTCCCTTTAGCACTCGTTAAACATATCACTTAATCAAGTTTCATACGGTATAATCGCTACTGCGCCCATGTCAGTTAGTACGTCGCAAATGTTCAGTATGGTTAAGATTAATCGTTTCTTCTTTCGATTGGTTCTGGCTTTTGAGGCATCCAGCAGAGCGTATAAAATCAACGACTTAAAATTAAGTCTCTCTCGTCAATTTAGGATTGAATGTGCGTTGAACGCTAAAACGTTGAGACCATAGAGCTTTGCTGTAATATTATTATCCTAGTTTGTTATCTGACACTTTCTAGGGAGTGTCCACTTCTTTATGTTAGCTTAATTTGTGGGCATTGGAACTCGTTTTTATTCATCATCTGGCGAAGTTTTATGAAAGCACGTATCCGCTTAATGTCCGAGTCGTTCATCAACTCTATAGTAAAGTCACACTGTAACACTCCTGTCTTAAAAAGCTCTGTTGTGCCGCATTTTGGCAAAAACTTACCAGCGCGCGGCTTTAATTGGGACTTCCAAAGATTGTTGTAATTTAGGTCGCTCGCTATTAATTAGGACAAAGCATCCAACAGTCCCTACACGACGTGTCGGGGATCCCGGGAAACTGGGATGTCATGATCCCAGATTATTCTAGTCCGACGCGTCACGTGGCGGGCTGGCCGTTTTGTGGTGCATGTGCCTGGCGCTTAATTTGATTGCAGGAAAGCGCTTCTTTGGCTGCGATTGATTTACGAATATAACGAAATTAGACGCCGTTTTTGTTCCACCGAAGGAACACAGTCGTCAACAATATTAATACATGGCTTGCCCGTAATGTCACCGCACCCTGCTGGTGGTCATTCCGACTTGGTCTTGCCGAGAAAAAAAAAACAAATAGACTATTTCCACAAATCCTTGCACGCAACACTACGCGCGTAGAATTGTGGGACCTAATTTAGCCAAGGAGTGGAATGGCATGGTTTCGGTTTCAATTGTTTACGAAGTAATGCATCTCACACCGCATGAAAACAAAGTCAGCGCTCGCTTGCATCGCACCCATTCATCTTCGTAAAATCCCCGTTGAAACACGGACCTCCAGCGGACGTAGGGACCTGCCTGTAGCGAGGTGTAGGAGTACGGCAGCCCACGTCCGGCATCTTTCTGGCAACCCGGCTACCAGTGCAGCCTAATGGACCTCCCTGCTCACGGATCATTTAAGAAGCCTAGGACATTGAGCAGACGATGGAACAGGATGAGCGGCCCAGTATACTTCTTCCATTTTCTATCGTAGTCCTGTGTTTACCTGCGCACAAACTCTGGCGCTTTGGGAGCCCAGAAAAGTGTGCTCCCGCATTCTATGTGCCGAGAAACTGCGGGACTGGAGAAGGCGAGAGCAGTCGAGGATGTCAAATCACCGAGCTCTGGTCTGAGTGATTAATGGGTAGATATCGTCGAACGCGTTCGAATGCAAAAGCCACACGCGGGACGCCGCCGTTCCGCGTTCTAACGCGTTCGACGAGTGCAGTGGAGACAAGGGCTGCTAGCTTTAGCCTGGTCTTCCCACTAATCGTTCCCACTAGAGCTCGGCGTTCTTGACGTCCACGCTCGCTCTCCTCTCCCCCTTTTTCTCGGTTTCTTGGCCCATTCGCATTGGTAGGCGACAACTACAGTATTATAAATGTAAGGAAAGTCACGTATTCGAAAATGCAAGCACTGTATTTGGTCGTGACGAGAGGTCCAGAAGCGAGGTTGGAAAATCGAAACCAAAACTTGGTGTCAAAGGATTCCCAAGGTGCTTTGTGTGGCACTATGCCGCTAGGATCACTTCAATTTTGCGACAGGTCTATTCGGTGGTGTGAATAAATGTGTGCTGCAAAATCTACGCTCTTAGCAGCAAGGTTACCGCAAAGGCAGCTGATGGGACGTAACTGCGGGCCATGTGTACGATTGCCTCCGTACTTCCACGCACGCCTTTTTCATGTCGAGTGTCTGGGGTTTGTTCGCATTGGCGCTGGCAGGTAGAAACTGAAGTCGAAACCTTGGGTATTTACGTGCCAAAAGCAACAAAAGGCATTTGTAGTGCGCACGCGGGTGCAAACGGGTGTACATGCGTGTGGTGGCTTCTCGAATGTACTAAGAAAAAAATGAAGTGAGTTCCAACTGGACAACAACCGACGGCACTCGGGATATTTTCATGAACAACACTCGGCGCTTTCGAGGATTGGAGGCTATCATCGACAGTGCCAGACCATCTCCCCAAATCACAGCTTCAGCGATGATTGCTTCTAACTTCCCCTGCCTGGTGCGTCACATGTGAACTATGTTTGTGAAGCGACGTGACCTCGAGGAAACTCTGCAGGAGCGTATACTGTGAATGCCAAGTGTGACTAACCTGCGTATCACGCGTGAATGACATGCGTGAATACCTTTCCTGTATACCTTTCGTGAATACCAGTTCATCTCAGTGTGTGGCACGTCTTTGTACTGCACAGCAAGGATGCGCCAGTTCATCGTGTTTTTATTGTGTGCTGCCTCAAAAGCAACTGATGTAAAAATTACAACAAAGAAAAATCGCGAATAGCATTTAAACGAATATATGAAATGAGTGGCACAAATGCGGCGGCATACTGTGCGAAGTGGCGCGACTGTGCGCAGTTGTCTATACGAAGTCACCCAAATATTCCCGTCGTGTTCTTTACCCTCGCGTCGTCGTTACTGCGTCCGGTGTTCCGCATTGTCCAGAGGATTTAATAAAGGCGGTATAGTTGTTTTACTCCGAGAGGACGCCTGAAGTGCGTCCAGAATTCCTTGCGATATCGCCCATTGTGCGCTCGTTGAGCTCTGCGTTCGAGAGGTGGCGCTTGAAGACTGAGCGCGGGTTAAATTAAAACTATTAGCTTTATTGTAATCTCTTTTCGTTTTTATTAATATGGTCATGACTGCCGCAGCCTCCCCTCTGCAAGACTCCTGGCGGACCAGCGGTTCGACATTGGCATGGTGAGAGAAAATGGGTTCGTTTAAATTGCCTACTAAAATTGAACTCTAGTTCGAGCTGTTCAGGACCTGGCGAATTTGAATCAACTTAACGTTTCGGCTACTTTGGCCATGCTTCGTCTCTTCGTGGTTCCTACACACTCGGTCTGAACCACCGTGATCTTCACCAAATTTAGATTCTATGTATAAACTAGTTGAACACTGATTGGACAAGTCAAACCAACTTTGTAGGAACGTTTAACAAACCGTTACCGTGTTCCGCGTACCGTACCGTACTACCGGAGCCTTTGAAGCACGCGTTTAGGCGCGGGCCCCGGGGGCCCCGGTGAAGGTTCCAGTAGTGCTGTGCGCGGAACACGGTAACGGTTTGCTAAAAGTCCCTAATGACAGCCCGGACGTATTAAGAACGACGGTAAATTTGAAAATACTGCTACGCTTTGTGTTGTTTTCTGGCTTTCGGCGGGTTCCTGAAAACTTCAATTGTTTGATTCATTGGATTAAGTACGGTTCATTCATCTGCACATATTCGTTTATATATATATATATATATATATATATATATATATATATATATAGATATAGATATCGCTTGTGAGAAAAGAAGGTGCAAAAGAAGGGGTTACACAGACAAAGCAGCTGAGGGTTGCAAAAACAAAAAGGGGGAGGGATGTAAATGTAATGCTTCATACCAACACTTGGATACAATTTACAAGGTTACGTTGACATGCTAAAAATTAAAAATTAAAAAAGAAAAAAAAGGGAGGGCAATACTACTGCCGAAAAGTCGACGAAGGCCCTTTATATCCATCATCTGTATCCCTCTTATCCTTTCTATCATTAACTTTTTTTTCTTGTTTACTAACATTAAAGAGAAAACCTTACATAGGACAAAATTCTGCTCAGCTGAGCGTCTATGCGAAGTCCCGTTCAAAACTCTCGTAGCACGAGATTCGAGTCCTAATAGCGGCCATACAAACAATATATTACTCTTTCTGTTGGCAGTTCCTGACAGACTACTATATTACCTAACGGTCAATAAGAAATAAAAAGAAAATTAAAGGTTTTTTCTCTTTTAGAAAATCGACTTCAAACTTGCAACTCTTTCGAAATATTCGTTTTTCAAGCAAATGTTCCGCGTTATATGTTTAGCGCAAAATAATCAAATTATACTCAAAAGAAACAGCTTAATTGGAGCTTTACGGTGATGTAAAGATC